TCCTCTTCCTCCTTCTCCTCCTCCTCCTCCTCCTCCTCCTCCTCCTCTTCCTCCTCCTTGTCCTTCGATTCCTCCTCCTCCCCTCTCCCTGTTCATCTCCCAATTTCCCCTCTCATTCGCCACCAGCTCATGCTCTCACTTGTTCTCATTCCTCCCCTCCTGCTTCCTGCCTCCTCTCCTCCTTTTGCACGTCGCTAATCTGGTAGCCAGACCAGCTCGACACGCGCTACTGAACGCACAAGCACACGCGGAAGCATGCATTGAATTGGTCTTGTTACTGACATGGTGCGCGTTGTCATTTCCTCCTCCTCCTCCTCTCGTCCTCCCCTTCTTTTCTCCTCTTCCTACTGTTCTTCCTCCCTCCTCCAGACGAACAAAGACAGGACCATGAAGAGAAGGCCTCCTGCTCATCCTGCTTCTCATCCCCAACTCGTCCTGCTTCTCCTCCTCCTGTCCAACTCCCCTCCTCCTTCGCCCTCCCCATCTTCCCCTCATCCGCCTCCTCCAATTGCAGTTCACAAGGACGCACGATAAGGATAAGAAGGCCTTGGAAGGCCATGTCGACGCTTTGCGAGCGGGGCGCGTCCAGCGAAAGCGGCCAAGGATGGGCCGAAGGGGAGAGATGCCAGGGTAATCTTGGAAAGTCGCTTTATCCTTACTATGCGGGTTGACTGCACTCCTCCTCCCTTCCTCCAGACGAAGAGCAGGGTGAGGAGAGGTAATTCACAATAAGGAGGAGGATCGAAGACCCCGCAAGATGGGTCCATCTGTGGCGGGAACTCATCGTGTCGACGATCTCCCGAGAGGGCTGCCGAAGCCGACGGGACCCCAGGGGGGTGTTAGGGATCAGAGCCCCCCCGAGTGTGGCTCGTCTGCTTACTCCTCCTGGTCCACCCCTAAACGAAGCCAGGACGAAGAACATATCGGGTGAGAATGAATCGGAAATCCCTGAGATCTGGCGGCTCTGAGGGATGCCTCGGACGTCGGACGCCGCGGCCTTCTCAGAGCATTCCGGAACGCTCAGAAAGCGTCCCGGAAGGCTCTGGAATGGATTTATCCTCGTCCTAGCCCCGCCCGACCTTCCCCCCCGCCTCATACACCCCCTCTCGCTCCTCCTGCACTTCCTCCTCCGCCTCCGTCTCGCCCGGCGCGGCGGAAAAGCAGCCAGAGCATGGCGGGTGACCGAAAATGAAGGGGAGCGGAGAGGCACTATACTCGTGAGGCGCACAGGTGCACCACAAGTGGTCTCCCGCCTCCTCCTCATCATCCTCCTCCTCGTCCTCTTCCTAGTCCTCCTCCTCGTCGTCCTCCTCCTCCTCCTCCCCCTCCTCCCCCTCCTCCCCCTCCTCACCCCCTCCTCGCCCCCATCACTGTCATCACTCCTGCGGCACGGAGCAAACGAAACCCGAGGGAAACGTGTTCAAGGACCCTGGGTGGGCCCTTCCGCCAGGGCCAGCTCTCCTCCTGAGCATTCTCCTCCCGTGGAGAGCGGAGGGTCCAAGAGCGGAGAAACAATCGTTGGACCCGTTTCCTTCGTTGCTAACCTTGCTACCCACCCTCCTCTACAGTCAAAACGTACATTGAGGACGGGTGGTCAGGACGCAATGCCCCTGGATGCCGAAGTCGGATTTTTGGGGCGGCGGGCGACAAGCGAAAACGGCAAAGGACGGGCCGCAGAGGCAAGGACACAAGGGTACCCTAGATTGCAGGGCGCGTCCTTACTGAGCGCGTTGATTGTATTCCTCCTCCCCCTCTCGCGCCATTCTAGAGTTAGGTCGGGCATGTCCCCCTACAGGCAGATGTCGGGCGGAAAATCACCAGGACTCAACACATACTCCGAAACAGTCAAAAAATACCAGAAACAAAATCGCCCCCAGACTATTTTGGGACTATATTTGAATGTTCCTCCTGTACAGGGACAGGCCCGACTTAACTCTCGAGGTCCCTCGAGCCTCGGGCCGACGGCCGCTCTCACTTCACGAGAGAGCCTGGTGCGCTGCGCCCCGGCCCCCGAGGGGAGCCCAGGGGCTGGGAAGGCAGGCCTGCGAACTCGATGGTGCGTCTACGACGAAGCCAGAGCGAAAATCTCTGAGGCTCGTCTGCTCACTCCTCCTGCTCCACCCCTAAGCAAGGCCAGGACGAGGATCAAACCGGGTGAGGATGGATCGGGAATCTCTGAGACCCAGCGGCTCTGGAGGAAGTCACGGGCGCCGCGGCCTGCTCGGAGCGTTCCGGAACGCTCTGGAACGAATTTATCATCGTCCTAGCCCCGGCCGAAAGTCCCCAGAATGAAAATCCGGACTGCGTCCTAATGCCTGCTGCGTAACGCGCGCCCGCAGCGAGGGCTTCTGGACAGCAATGCTTCCAGCCCAGCGGCGCTGGCAGAGGTTACCGCGCCGCTGGGCAAGGGGTTCCATCAATCCCCGCTCCTCCTCCTCCGCCGCCGCCTTACTCGTCATCCTCACTCGTACTCTTCCCTCGGCATCCTCATCCGCGCTCCGCGTGCTTCTCATCACTGTCCTCATCCTGCCCCTTCCGCACCTTGGTGCTCTTGCTGATGCTCCTGATTGTTTATAATTTGCTTCAGCTCATCCTCGTTACGCCGCAGCTCCATAACTCTCCCGATCGACCACTCCCTGATATGATTCCTCCTGCACCTCGTGCTACATACCCACTATTCCACCATACGTGTTCCCCAAACCTTTCCCCCCAACATTATCATCAACCGTAACTGTCGTAATCCGAATAACGTCCATTATCCTCGCAGGATCCTCCATTTTCGCTCCCCTCCCCACAATCAGTAAAATCATACTCATCCCCCGATGTGGCCCTCCTGCCTGGAATCGTTTGCCCAAATCATGCTTCAGTGTGTGTGTGTACTGGACAGGTCTCACCAACATATCAAACACCTGCCTCGTGCTCCTGCTGCTTACAGTCGACATTCCATATGACGTGACCATAACAATCGGTATTTCACGATTGGTATGCTGCGAAGCCACGGTAAGCCTCACAACAGAATACTCCGAGTTTCTTAGTAAGCGTCGGAAGGGCGTCGCCCCCGCCGACAGCCCCACATCGACCCCCGTCGCGGGCAGCAACCGCGCGCAGAAGGCGCTCCGACCCCCGTCGCGGCGCGACGACGAGGCGAGGTTGACCCCCGTCGGGGGGGTACCCCCCCATGCTTATTAAGAAACCCAGAGTAGTCGACATGGTGTACGAGAACGCTGTCCGTCACACGTGCTGCCGACCACAGAGGTAAAGATCCCGCGGATCGAGCACGCGCGCTGTGCAGCCCTGCCCGTCTGTGGACAAAAGAGACGCGGCCTAGTCGAAACGACGATCAGAAACTGACGGCTACCGCCGTGCCCCTGCGAGGGAGTCCACGCTTGCCATGCTCAGCGCAGATGCCGTGCCCCGCCGTGCGCGATAAGCTGGCACCGACTGTCACGAGGAAAATCCTGGAAACCTCGCGCGGCAACTTGAGACCCGATGTATGTCGGATCCACGTCGGATGTACGTCGGGTTCACGTCGGACTACGTCGAAATGACGTCGGATTTACGTCGGACCGACTCAGGAGCATCGCCGCGCGAGCGTCGACCCGCAGCCCACGGAGCTGACGTGTGGACTAGATGATACTACTATTACGCGCCGCGCGAGGCCTCCAGGATTGTCCTGAAGGAACGATTGGGTCCTCACGGGTGCCCGTAAAACGCTTGAAACGCTTCGAGACGAGCTCGACGAAAGAGCGCGCGAATCGAGATCCTCTTCGCGCCCCTGCAAGTGACCGAGGCCTTGCACCTGGAATCCACTCCCGCCCCGGGCTGCGCACGGCCTGCGCACGCACGCTATTAGCTCGAGAGGAGCTGGCGACGCAGGCGCTGCCCAGCTCGAGAGGAGCTGGGCCTTTTCCCCAGGGCTTTGCCCTGGGATCGTGAATCGACGGTCCTGCGGCCAGCGGGGAAGGCTCCATGAACAGGAAAACGGTGAACAATCTTACGACCCGTGTCCTTCAGGTCATGGCCGCGGCAAGCTGCCGAGCCTGCAAAGATAGGCTGCATGGCCATCCCCAGCGCAACCACGCTGCTGGCCCCAAGAAATAGATTCCCAGGGCCGTTGCAATTGAAGGTTACACCCACGGAGGGTGGCAATGACGTCAATTATTTCCTCCTGTCCTCGCACACACGCACCTTGCATGCACGCCCAAGGATTCGAGGCTGGACTTTGTACACATCCAACATGTCGGGAACCGGTGTCCCAGGACCCCATGCACGCACGTCATCGGAGGTTGGGGGGAGAGATCGCAATGGAACGGAGACCCCCAACCGCGAAATCGTTTCGTTTCGTTCGTGTCGTGCGTGACGGGCGAGGCGAAGCTGCGTGGGCGCGCGAGAGAAATGAACCCGCCGATGCTAGGACGAAGTCAAGAGAAATGTTTCTCCTCCGTCCGTCCGTCCGGCGGTGGCCCTAGCGGTGTCCTGTGGTGTCCCGTTGAGTGAGATCGATAGTGAGATCGATACTGAGATCGATGTGGTGCCCCGTGTCCCGTGGTGTCCCCAAACACGAGATCGATAGTGAGATCGATAGTGAGATCGACAGGTGTCGCGTGGTGTCCCGTGGTGTCCCGTTGAGTGAGATCGATCGTGAGATCGGTGTGGTGTCCCGAGGTGTCCCGTGGTGTCTCGCTGAGTGAGATCGATGGTGAGATCGATAGCGAGACCGATAATGAGATCGAGAGGTGTCCCGCGGTGTCCCGTGGTGGCCCGTGGTGTCCCGTTGAATGAGATCGATAATGAGATCGATAGCGAGATCGACAACAAGTGTCCCGTGGTGTCCCGTGGTGTCCCGTTGAGTAAGATCGATAGTGCGGTCAATTGAGTCAGATGTTGGTTCCCCCCCCTCCCCCCCCACAACCTCCTTATCACCCGAAGGGTGGTCGCATAGGTGTGTATATATATATGTATGTATGTATGTATGTCTGTCTGTATGTATGTATGTATGTATGTATGTATATATATATATATGTATGTTGGGCCCTGGCCACCCGACTGCATCCGTCCAGGAATAACGATTTCCCAAGGCGGCGGATATGTATGAACCCCATCCTCGGAAGAGAACAGCAGGAAGGTGTGCACGGAAACACATGTGGTCTACTGCTGCTCGGACGAAAAGGTAATGGAAAGTGAGGGGCGTGGGGAGGGAGGAGAATGAGGATACCCAGGACGGGGGGGAGGTAATGACTTCTGTTGTCGAGGATGCGGGGGAGGAGGAGGGGAAGGAGGAGGAGGAGGAGGAGGAAGAGGAGCAGCGGCATCAAGAGGACGACGACCAGAGGGACGGAATATAAGGACATGGGTAAACGAAGAGGATGATCAGGATAAGTCGCAAGAGCAAAAGGATGCCCCCCGAGTCCCCAGGGAAGTCTAAGGGAGGTCTCCGGGAGGTCTCCCTGGAGGTGGCCCCCAGGAGGCCCAGACGCTCCAAAATACCTCGACACCTGCTGCCCAAGATCGTCAACATCACATTAGGGAATCGGGTCGGACAGGAATGATGCATCGGCACGGCCACGGAGCAGAATCGGATCGGAAGCGCCAAGGATGACAACGCCATGCAAGCATCGGGTTGTAAAGGATCGGGCAGGCCGAACTCGATAATGATATCTGGGTGGCAACTACCGAACCCTACCCTCACCAACCATGGATTCTCCTCAATCGATGGGAGGCGAGGGAAGGATTCGGACTTCGCCACGCATTCGACGAGTTCCGAACCCTTCCCCCGCCGCCAACCCGAACCATTGATTGGCGAGGGTCGGGTTCGGACTCGTCGCTGGATATCGAATCGGACCGATCGGATACAGTCGGGGTTGATTGGAGAGGGCACGCGAGAGGACACAAGACCCTTCCGAGGGCCAGATTGCCACAGGAATGCAAGAAGGCATGGGTCGCGAAGCTCAGGACACGAGGGTACCCTCGATTGGGCAGGGTCGACATGCTAATCAGTCTCGACTGCAGATGTGGTGCCCAGCGCCCTCCGCGCTGGGCACCGAGGAGCAGACGCCGCGGGGGCCTCAGGGGCAGCTTCGTTGGCGCCATCGCGGGGGGAGGGGGGGATATTGCACGAGGGGGCTGGCCTCGTCAGAAGGCCGGTGTCCTTCTGAGAAGGCAGGCGGCTACTCAGAAGCCCTCCCAGCTTCTGAGGAGCCCTCTTAGAGCCCTGCGGCCTTTCTCAGAAGGCTCCCCCTTTCTGAGACGAAGGCCCTGCCAGCTTGAAGCCCACGGCGTCCTCCGCGCCCGCACCAAGGAGCAGACGCCAGGGGGTCGCATGGGGCAGCTCTGGCGGCGCCCGCGAGGGGGGATTGCGCGAGGGGGGGGGGCTTCCAAGAAGGCGGGGGTAGTTCTGAGAAGGCAGGTGAGCGACGATCCGAAACTGGTCCTACGCGGGATGGCGCAGCGGCCTTGCGCCGCAACTTACGCGGGCCGCCAGCGCGGCACGTCACATTGGGAACGAGAGCGTCTGTGCGCGACCTTATGCGGGCGGGCAGCTTACGCGCGAATGTCAGCGCAATCGACGCAATCTTCCCTGCGTCGCTCAAATGGCTCCTTAGAAGCCGGCCAAGCTACAGTCGGACCTAGGACATAAGAACATCCTTCAAGCAAATAAGACCCTCCGCTGGCCAACATGAAGAGCATTCCAGGCCCCCCCCCGCCGGATGCACAATAACATCCAACACGCACGAAAATCTTTAGGGTACCCTCCCCGAACCGACATCGATCTTATACCTCGGTCATCCTCGGTCCGACGGTATGTGGATCTGCAGCGTGCGCGCCAGATCCACTGCTTGGGATGGCTCTCCGAAGCATGCGGCCACTGCCGACTTGGCGACGGAGCGTGCCGACGATTGATGGGAGCGGGACTCGTCGCCAGTCCACGCGCCCTAATCCATGTTTGCGTTTCCTAAGTCCTCCCCCTTCCTCCCATCTACTCTGGATGGAAATGAGGAGGCGGGTGGGAGAGGAGTTCGAAGGGAACAACACGGCGGCTGATGAGGGAACGAGGGGAACGCGAAAGGGAAGGGGTGCTCGGGGACGAGGAGGAGGGGGATGGCGAGGAGCAGGTGGACGGGGAGACGGCGGGCGCCGCTGCTGCCGCCCTTCACGCACCCCCCAACTTGACTAGGATGCCCCCCCCGGCAACGACAGAACGTCTCGAATCGGCAGTTGCTTCAAATGTTTCCTCGCAGTCAAGGTATTCCTTCCTTCTTCCTCTGCCTTCCATTCCGTTAGCCACTTCCTTTCATTCACCTTCACACATCTCTCAAGCTTGCCCTCGCCCCCTCCGCCCCCGCCCCCTGTCTCGATCATCGACCCACGCCACCGCGAGAAAGTGCAATACCCGCCCGAGGGCGCTGACGCTGGGGCGCCATCGCTTGCGCGCAACTTGGGAGGGTGAAACTCTGAGCGCTCCGCGAGCCATGGGGCAACAATCGTCCCCCCTTGGATGCGCGAGGGGGTTGGGCACGTGCTGTCGGGGGGAGGAGGAGGAGGAGGAGGAGGAGGAGGAGGAGGAGGAGGAGGAGGAGGAGGAGGAGGGGGAAGAGGTGGAGGAGACCCTCTTGGACCCCTGCCTTTTTCGAGAGGCCCCTCGCCCGGGCCGCCGGCAGGAGACGCGCAGCGGCAGGCGATCCGAGAAGGCGCGGAAGGGGGGTCTCCCTGCCGGGCGCGGCCCGCTGCGGAACCCTGCTGTGTACACCTCCCCCCCTTGTCTGTTCTCCGTGTCGTCCCCTTCCCTCCCCTTCCCTCCCCGCCCATCCTCCCTTCGTCGTCGTCGTCTTCCTCCTCCTCCTCCTCCTCCTCCTCCTCCTCCTCCTCATCATCATCAGCAGCAGCAGCAACATCATCAGCCGCATCATCGTCATCATCATCATCATCATCATCATAATCATAATCATCATCATCATCATCATCATCATCATCATCATCATCATCATCATCATGGGCATCAGCATCATCATCATCATCATCACCATCATCATCGCCATCGTCATCATCATCAGCAGCACCAGCAGCAGCAGCATCAGCATCAGCATCAGCATCATCATTAACAGCAATATCATCATCATCAGCAATATTAGCATCCGCATCATCATCATCATCATCATCAGCAGCATCATCAGTAGCAACACCACTGACAGCATCATCGTATCCTCATCATCCGCATTTCATCATCAACAACAGCATCAACATCACCATCATCGGCATCATCAGCATCATCATCAGCAATCTTATCATCCGCAGCATCATCAGCAGCATCATCGGAAACAGCACCACTATCAGCATCATCGTATAATCATCATCTCATCACCATCAACAACAGCATCACAGTCACCGTCATCAGCATCATCAGCATCATCATATTGACTATCAGCATCTTCATTATCATCAACAACATCATCATCACCATCATCATCATCATCATCATCCAAATCAGCGTAATCATCATCATCAGCATCATCGGCACCATCATCATCATTAACATCACCACCGCCATCATCAGCAACCTCAGCATCATCATCATCAGCAGTATCGTCAGCATAATCATCATCAGCAGCAGCAGCATCATCAGCAGCATAACCATCGTCGTCATAGCATCATGTTACCATCATCAGCAGCAGCTCAACATCATCATCATCAACCACCTCATCAACAGCATCATCATAATCATCATACTCAGCATAATCATCCTACTCAGCAGCAGCATCAGCATCATCCTCAACAACATCGTCATCATCATCATCACCCTCCCTCCTCCACCTCCTCACCCCTCCATATCCAAGTCCTTCTCCTTCTTTCCTCGTCTTCTCCTGTTCCCTCCCCTTCGCCAGACACCACAATCCAGAGCCCCTGGTTTTCTCCTCCGCCCATCCATCCACTCTCCCTGAAAGGGGACCTCTTGGAATGCTGATTTCCAAGCCCTGACTCGATGAATCGCAGCTGCAGGGAAGCGAAGGCAATCCGGGGCTCCGGGCTGGCCTGAATGTGATAGTTTGTCCCGTTGGACTTCTCGCCGTGGCCTTGGCACCGCCGCGGCCGGTCGAGACTGGCGCCCTCCTCGCCCTATCCCCACCTGCGTAGCGTTCCTGTGCGCCACCATTTGTCATTCGGCGTTGGCTGTCTTTTCTTGCTGCTCGATTTCTCGACCTTGCCAACAGTTGCCCGCCATCTTCGCCTTCGCACCCTCGCAACGTCATCAGCTGCAAACGAGATCGCGGCCAGAATATGTACCTAATGACTCGCCGCTGTGTGTAACACATCATGTGCAACACAACATAGATCTAGTGATGCATACATGTATATATATATATGTATGTATACATACATGTGTCTATATGTGTGTATATATATATATATATTCCGCCGACCATGTCGGTGTGTGTGTGAAGGGCTTGTCCGTTCAAGTCGTCATCTCCGTCATTCGTTGGTCGTCGTCGTCTGTCGCCCCCTTTCCCTGCCTCCCCCTTTCCCTTAGCTCGTCGAAGCTCCCCCTTTTCCCAGAGACCTCCTCAGCGCGCCAACCAAAGCGCAACTAAGCCACGTCGTAGTTGATTGAAGGGAGGCCCCTTCCCTTCGATCCCTCCCCCGCCGGGGGGGGGGGGAGTGGTTGGGGGAGGTCCCGGGGGACGGGGGGGGGGTCAGACGCCCGGGGGGGCGGGGTCTGATACGACGCCCCCCCTGAGAGTCCCGGAACCAAAAAAAAAACCAAGACGGGCCAAGAGTGCCCCAAGAGGCCCCAAAGACAGTCCAAGAGAACCCCGATTCGCCGAACGATCTGTCCAGGACGCCTTGACGGCCTCCAGACGGCCCAAGCGGACTGCAAAGCGCCCCTAAGAGGCCTCCAGGAGCTTTCTGTCGAGAGCCCCTAAATGGCAAACTTCATGGACTTCCGATGCGTTTTTGAAACACATTGGCGTTCTTGCCTCTTCCGCTTCCCGACGCGCCAAGACGGCCCAAGAGGCGTTTTTTTGATTTGATCCTGGCAATGCCAAACTGTACAATTACTTCCGCCTGCGGGTCTTGACGACCTGATTCTGGCGGGCCCACTGGCTTCGACCTGGAGGTTGTCCCTTGGCAACCTTCTTTAGCATCCTGGAGCCGTAGTCACTGAGGTGACCCGCGCACTGATGCTTCAAATTGCGAACCGCCATGGCCGCGATGAAACCACACGAGAAACAAACCGTGGTGCCCCATGTCTTACTGTATCCTAACATGTGGGACGGACGCAACCTCTGACCGTTCACAAACCTGCATGGCAAGGACTGCTCAGAAACTGACGTGCCAGGGAGCGCGGGGCCGAGCCTCCACAGACTTTACATTGGATTCGGTTCCTCCTACCCTCCTCTGGCGTGTGAGCAGTGAGATCCAGCTGGATCTTAACTTCCCTGAAATGCCGCTGCACAACCTTTTCTCGAGGGGCCCTGTCTCCGTCCGCCTCTATCGCAGACAACAGAGTGTGCCCAAGGTGGTCCCGAACCTGGAAAGTAATCCCTTGGGCGAAGGACCTACTGTCTCGGTCCTTGTCTGGCACGCGCAGATGGTCCACCCGCGAACTAGCGAAACGGCGTGCAACTTCATTGACAAGGTAGTGCAGCTGATCCGCGCCAGCGGCGGAGACGTGCACGGCACTCCTGTGGCTCTCAACCTTGACTACGACCAATCCCCGTTCGGGGTGCGACTGGATGAGAGCTCTGAGCTGGTGCCACAAATCAAGGTGAGACTGAGGATTGATCCCTGCCCTCAATCTGGCAAAGTTATTAACTACATACGAAGAGTCTGTGACAAAATAGGCAGAGGCAGTCGGAAACACCGCGCGCACGAACTCAACCAAGCACAAAACCTCGCCTCGGTCGACCGACTGCCTCGACCCTGGGATGTGGCCAAATCCTGCGGCGTGCGTGCGGAGACTCTCGATCGAGTACTGTCCGTCCTCGTCGAGCCCCCATCAGCACCACCCAAGACCAGGCCACTCTACGAAGCGCCATATCTTGATGATCCTGGCCGCCACTCGCGCCCCCACCACCGAAACCAGAACCGTTCACAACGGCCTCACCCAAGTCACCACCCAACATACGGAAATCAGCCACTTCAGGTGGCGGGGGGACGGCGGTCCCAGAGCTGGGCGTCAGCCCTCTGATCTAACAAACTAGGATTGTGCTCTGCATCAGCTCTGGCTCTCGGAGCAACGAAATCCGAGACCTGGCAAAAATCGGCATTATTGGGGCACTCCCAAGCTCTATGCAAATCCGACTCGAGCACGTGCTGGCACCTACGACAGCGGCTGTCCTGCGACAGGTTGCACTCCTGCATGCGGCAACGGGTCCAACTGTTGCCCGTGGCTACAGCGCGCAGGATGCCAGCCAACCCATGTTTGCCTTTCTTCTTGAGCCTCTTGAGGTCCCTTCTGAAATCAAACAGATCTGGGGCCAACTCAAGGCCATGACCGTTCCAAGAATTTTTCGCAGCTGCTGACCACAACTTGCGTTCCATGCTGGCTGCCAGAGCCTCCTTGATAACAGCAAGATCGACCTTGCCCCGCCCGAGCAGGGATTCGTCAATCGCATACCTAACTCCCAGATCGCACTCCCACGCCCACGGACCCCAAGGCTCCCAACCCAGATCAAGCAGAGCGGCAATAGTGGCCGCAGCAGGTGCGGCGACTCCTCCCCACCTATGCGTGACAGGCCTGTCCCGCAGACGAGCGAGAACCTTTCTCCAAACTCTGCGGATCCTCTCAGCATGGAAACTACGATCAGTTAAAATGAGGAACCATGCCTCGATCGTGTCGAAGAGAGCGAGGAAGGCAGGGCCCCTCCTCCCATACTCGAGCGCTAGCAGCGTGGTGAGGCACCTACCCCCCTTAGCGACTCCCCCAGTCAACCGACCCAGCGACCGACGCCACCTCAAGACGACATGGGGGGGCAGTGCCGCGCACCTTGCCTGAACACCGTGACTTGGCAAAGGCGGCCGTGAGGGCCATCTTCTTAGCCCACCTCTTGCACAACATGTTGCCAGCAGCAAACTTCTGAAGCTTACTTAAACGCTTGACCGTGGCTTGCCGACGTGCTGACTGTTTCGGCCTGGACGCTCCGACTCGCCCTCGGTCGATGCCTAGGTCAGCACTGACCAGTTTGACCTGGATGTCAATCTGGTGTCCCTTGAAAAACTGTTGCAACTGCTTGGCGACACTGGTGCTCGAGCAGATGATGCACGACTTGCTGGCCATGGATAGATGAGCCTGCTCGAGACAACGGGCAAGCTTCAGCCCTGCACTCGAGAACCGTATGAACACTAACTCGCTTGTGCCGTGCATGCATTGCACCATGCCATCTACCCAGGTGTGCAGACTCGGCTCTGCAGGAGCCCCAGTGACTAGTTGCGCGCAGACGTGGTGCAAGGCAGCTCTTCCTAAGCCGACAGCACCGCTACTACCTGGTATGCGTCACAGCTCTGGGCCTACTGGGGGCGAGTACCCCCCCCCCCCCCCATCTCGAAGAAATCTGACCGCCATATGGATCTGCAACTCAAGAGCAAGATAGCAAGGCGGGAAATCAAGATCCAGGGCCTTCTCCATGATGAGGTACCATCGGAGGCTATCGTAGAACCCCTACACATCCCAGAGCAGACTACCACTGTGAAAGTCGGGGAAGCTGGCGTTGGCAGCCCCCTCGTCACGAAAAAGGCGCAGCAACGCAACTTGCAGGGCCGAGGAGCCCGCCAGCGCCGTGCCCCACGTGCCAGCAGTGGCCCTCGTCCAGGCAGCTCTATCATGTTCCTCAACCTGCCCCAGAATCTCACAAGCCACGCGAGCAGGCCAATCGCACGATCCGCTTCCAAGTCCTTGACCTGGAGGGTGGCAAGAATGACCAAGACCTGCCAAGGCCAACAGCACTCTCTTTCTACTTGGGAGAGAAGCCATGCCAGATCCTGCAGGCCCGCCCTAGGCAGCCAGACGAAGTCCTTCTTCGTCATCTGGTCTACCCCTGGCGCGCGGTCTGGCAGGGCAGAGATGGGCCTGGAAATCTGGTCCACAGTGATCGGCCTGGGCTCGAGTGCCTTAGCCTTAGACTGGGCTTTCTTCCAAAGCTCGAAAACTCTCTCGAATGTGGAGGGATCCCCCTTCCACTTGAGGCTCCACACTCTGGCCCTGGCCTCCATGCGCGCACAAGAATCTAGAGCTGGGTCGCCCCGCGCCCTCATCTCGCCTACAAAATATGTTTTATCTTTGAGCCTGGTGTACAGTCCTCGTCCACCTAACTGGTCTTGCCGCAGGACCCACTGGTGGAACTTGCCGAGACTGACGTGGAGGACTGACCTCTGGGCTCTCACCGAATTGGAGTAGGCCTGCCTACTGAGGTCCCTGATGGAGTCATCCGTGAGCTCCCAAATCACACTATGACTTCGGCACCACTTGGTGCGCACAGGAGGAGGGAGAGGCATCAGATGAGAGACGGGAACAGAGACAGACATGTCCCTCAATCGCTCGCCTAACCTACTGGCCTTGCTAGAACCCCTCTGGTCCAGGAGGCCCACAAGGTCCTTCAACAAGAAATCAATCGTGGCCCACCAGTGCGCCACAGGGTCCCCAGACGACACGAAGTGGGCTCCTTGGGCCTCGGGTCTCCGAGTGAGCTCTCCAAAGGAACCTCTCCCTCGACACTTCTTTTAAACACTCGGGTGAATCTCCAACATAGTGCAAAAAAAACGACTCAAACTTAACAGTCCACTCCCCGAATGACCTGCCAACAGAAAGCGACGCCTTGGGATCCAACCGAAACACCTTCGAATCTACTATGTACTTCGGCGGAGTGCCGTGTGACCGACTGGCCGACAGAGTGTGCCAGAGCCTGTCCTGGGCTCCTGGCGCCGTCTCAAGGAGCAACTGCGACGCGCTCTGTCCCTGAGCTGCGGGAGGGGCGGGGTCTGCAGGGCCTCCTGCGCCCGTCGCCGCACCTCCAGGGGGGGCGGGGTCTGCTGGTTCACCAGCACCCATCGCCGCGCCCCCTGCGCCCCCGGCGCCACTCTGGCCGAACTGCCTGTCGTCCCCGCCAGACGACTCGCCGTCGTCCTCCTGCTGAGGGTCCTCCTCGGACTCTAGGCCCCAATCCTGCGCCCCCAAGTACTGCAAGGGAGGCGGCATCTTGAACCTGATCTGACGACGCGCTCTCATCGGAGGAAGTGGTAGTTCTGGCTCAGCGGCGGCCTCACCGAGCTGGCGTAGGAGACGCTGTCGAGACCTCTTACTGTTCGGATCAGCTTGCTTCTTGGGTCTCGGTGGGTACTGGAATCTCTGCGGCATGCTGAGTACGCATCTCTGAGCCTTCTCTGACCCCAACTGCAGCCTCAACAAGATGCAGAAATGCGACTTTTCTGCTCCAAAGCACGCTTCATCATCCACCGCCACCGAGCAGACGAACCGAACCATCGAGCGCGGCAGAACTGCGTAATCAAACATCCTCTTCTGGCCAGCCGCACATGTGCATTCAGAACCTGAGGGGGCGCGAATCAACCCATCCACAAGTGATGGCCAGCCTGTCTTCTGCAGTTCGATCGGAGTCGCATTGAAGTCCCCAATGACCAACCAAGGCGTCTTGATAGACTGCAACAGGGTGCCTAACTGAATCGACGTTGACACGTTCATACATGTGATGCCCACCTCGGATGTCAAATAGATGCCGAAGATCGAAATAGACTGGCCACCAATCTTGAGCTGACACCCTACAACGTCTCTGAAATCAATCCCCGACATGGTGGTCTCTGGCTCCTGGATCTGACGGAGCCCCATTTGCATATGTCTGTCGGTCGCAAGGTGCCGAAAGCTCTGAAACTGAAATCTCTTCCTGACTCCCATAGAGATCCCACCAGCCTTGGTCGTCGACTTCAGCTGGTAGGATGGTGCCACCACTGGTTGATAGCCTCTGTGGCTCCAATCATGGAGCACTTCTGTACACATATCTGGAAGAACGTGCAGCTCGGGCAAAATGACTATGCCGTACAAGCCCTCAGCTAGAAGGCACTGGGACGCGTGGCCCCAGCCCGAGAGGTTCCTCATATACAACGTGTGCACGTCGCCCACACGATGTCTCCCCATCCGCTCTCTGCTCTCGCAGGTGGCGGACGAGGGCGTCGACTTCACCCTGCAGGCGGTCCGACGCGGCCTTGGGCTGCTGCTCATCCCCAGGAGCTGGCGCGGCGCGAAAGGCGGGGTCTGCTGCCGAGCCTCGGCCAGCACCCGTCGCCGCTCCTCGCGCAGGCGCCTCGGGGGCAGCGTCGGCACCTCCACGGGGTACACTGGTCGCTGCGCCCTGGCTCGCTGGTTCGGCCGTGACCTGAGCCCCACCCTGGTTGCCTGTCCTCTTCTTGCGGGCTCTCTCGAGGACTGCTGAGACCTTGGCCTTCTGATCCTGCAACTTCTCATTGATCTGACCGCACGTGTCCTGCACCGCCTTGCGTGACCAAACCTGGAGCTCACTCTTAGTCTTCTCCAGGATGTCATGGTCCGACTGCGCGAGGCCCAACCCGTCCAAGTCGACTCCCAGACTGATCTCCAGTTCCAGGTTGCCGCCCAGCACCTCCTGGATATCCAGGACAGCACCACGCGGCACGGGCAACTCCTCAGGCGGCAAGAACTCTTTAGCTTTAGCTATCTCCTCACGCTCAGCTTCCATAACCTCCGTCGTACAGGCACGAAGCTTCTCCGTGCAACGCTCCAACTCCTGCTTGGCTCTTTTCCACTGCTCCTTGGCTGCCTCCACGGCCTTGCGTCCACGCTGCAAGCGGGCCGCCGCCATCTGGAGGGCCTGCCCAGGCGGCCGTGGCTTGGGCTCAGGGGGAGGTCCTCGCAAGGTGGCCACCAAGGAGTCCACGGCGCGCTTGGTGCCCACCTCCCCACCACCGAGCTTGGCCGCCAAGGCGCAGAGCTCCTGCACAGCGTCACCATCAGTAGGAGCAGCACCACCCTGACGGCCATGGCCAGGCCCACGCGATTTCTGGAACTTGGCGCCACACTCGCACGTCCAGTTCTTCGCTTTGAGCCTGTCCTGGAAGAGCCACCGACCGCACGAGGAACACTCAACTTGGGCCCTGAACTGGCGCTTCCTCCAAGCGTTGGCCCCCCACGACGGCGGTGGCGGCACAGAACCAGGCAGTGGAGGATAGACGATCGGATTCCACCATTCACCGTAGCGCGAGGCAGGCTGCTGCCTCCACGGCGGTCGCCGAGAGGCATCCGGCGGCATCGACAACCGTCCGTGTTCTTGACAAAACTCGATGCTGTGCCGCCTGGAGGCACACACAGAGGAGCGATGAAACTCTTGGGAACTAGCCGCGGACTAGCGGTATCTACTCGTTTCCCAGGGAAACTCAAAACCTTGAGCCAAAATGGCTACGGATGGCCCAAGAGGCCCACACGATCGCCATGAGACGGCCCAAGAAGCCCCGAAGACGGCTCCAGGAGAGTGCCCAGACGGGGGGCCCGAACGGGTATTTCGAGCTCTCAGCCCCAAGAGGCCCCGAAGAAGCCCGAAAAAGGCCCCAAGAGGCTCCCAAGGGGCCCCAAAACTGCCTCAAGACAACCCAGGAGAGCCCCAAATTACCCATGGGGCGTCCAAGAGTGCTTCGAGACGGCGCAAGAGGAGCCCTGGACGGCCCAAGACGGCCTCAGGAGAGCCACGGGCTGTCCCAAGAAACCCTTTGGTCTCCTCCTCCTCCTCCTCCTCCTCCTCCTCCTCCTCCTCCTCCTCCTCCTCCTCCTCCCCCCCCCTTTGCTCCCCCTCCTCCTGCTCTCCTCTGCCTCCTTCTCCCCCTCTTGTTTCTCCTCCACATCCTTGCCCCCCCCCTCCTCCTCTCTCATCCACCTCCTCCGCCCCGCCCCCCTCTCGTTTTCATCCACGTCGTTTCCAGGGTCGGCGGCAACGGCCGTAAGGCCTTCGCACTGACAGCTCCCCCAATCACACACATCTGGGCGGACCAACCTCGCGCGCCCGACCTCGGGCGCAACGCCCCGACCATGGGCGCAGCGACCGAGCCAGGGCCGCCGCCCCGCTAGCACCCCGCGCGGGGGGGCGCAGGCAGCGACGCACGCTGTCCCCGACCAGGCCAGCCTGGGCGCTGAACCCCAAGGGCGGGCGAGGCGGAATCGGCCCGCCGCCGACCGAGGCAGCCTCGCACCCAGGAGCGGGCGGGTGGGGCATAACGGCCGTCGGGCCCGCGCCGCGGCCGTGGGGCGGGCGAGCGCCCCGCGAGCGCGACGCGAAGCAATAATGCGAAACCTGCGAAGCAGACGGCGCCAGCTCGCGCTGCGACCCGCCACGGCGCGATCCCCGCGGCGCGCCCGCGCAAGCGCCCGCGGCAGGCCCGCGCGTGACAACGCAGCAGCACCACCCACCGAGCGCGGGCGGCGCGCCCTGCGGTCGGGCTACATGCGTCGCGCGTCGCGCGTGTCGCGGCGCCGCGGGGCCCGTCGGCCGACCTGCGATTCGTGCCCGCGCAGCACCCTGCAGGCGCGCGCCCCTCACAAATCTCGTCGGACCAACCTCGTGCACCCGACCTCGGGCGCAACGCTGGGGCTCGGGTCCTGGCCAAGCCCCAATATCCCTTGGAAGCCTTCCTGCCTTAAGCAAGTCAAGAACCCTTCTGCCCCAGCAGGTGGTCTTGCGGGTGCAATCCTTGCCGAGCTGCTTCAAGGAAATCGTTGCCGTGGTGCCGCAGTCGCGGCACCAACAAAAACTGCACGATGAGAGCGCACATGCTGGTGGCTCACATGGATTCACTCTGGCCAGCCAGCACATTGGACCCTGAGCAACTCAGCAGAACCCTCCTCCTCCGTTCCTTCTTCTTAGTATTAGTATTTTTGTTATTCGTTTTCTTATTGTCATTATTATTCCGATGTTTATTATTATTATTCTGAGTATCAGGTTTCATTTGATTATTCTTCGTATGTTTTCATAACCTTATTAGTATTAGTATTATTCGTACTGTCTCATTCTTCCTCCTCCTCCTCCGTCGTCCTCCTCCTCCTCATCATCCTCGTCCTCGTCCTCGTCCTCGTCCTCGTCCTCCTCCTTTTCCAGCTCAATATCCTCCCTCTCCTCCTCCTCCTCCTCCTCCTCCTCCTCCACCTCCTCCTCCACCTCCTCCTCCTCCTCCTCCTCCTCCTCCTCTGAGGGGCAACGATAGGGAGGGACTGGCATAAGGGGGGATGCATCGACCTGGAAGCGGCGATACATCGCCGATAGATCGGCGACAGGGCGATAAGCCCCGGATAGTGAAACCGCACCTTCCTGTGCAGGTTGGGGCTATCGGGCACCTATCGGCGATCAATGGGCGATCGAAGGTCGACGCATCCCCCCTATGCTTGATTATCCCCCCGCATCGTTGCCCCCGATCCTCCTTCTCCTCCTCCTCCTCCTCCTCCTCCTGTTCTGCCTCGTCGGCTTCCGGGGAAAATCCTCCTCCTCCTCCTCCTCCTCCTCCTCCTCCTCCTCCTCCTCCTCCTCCTCCCCACCTCCTCCCCCCCGCGGCCGAGCCCGCCGCCAAAGTCGCCGCTGAACATGCCGCCCATCACCCCGGCGCCGGACGACCGCCTGAGGCCGGTCCCGCGGGTTGTCGCCTCGGAGGGGGGGGGGCTCGCCGTCGTCGTCGCCGCCGTCGTCGTCGTGGAGGAGAAAGAGGAGGGGAAGGAGGACGACGAGGAGGACGACGAGGAGGAGGCGGAGGAAGGAGGGAGGAGGAGGAGCGAGGAAGAGCAGGAGGAGGGGGCAGCGGAGGGAGGACGGAGGAGGAGCGAGCTGGGGAGCGGAGGCGCTGGGCGGAGGCGGCGGCCCGCCCGGGGCGGCGCGAGGCCCCGCGGAGCGCGCCTGCTGCCGCGCCAGGCTGGCGCTGAGCAGGCCCATCCGTGCCTCGAAGGTCTCCTAGCGCCGGCGGGGCGGGCCCGCCCGACGCCCCGCGCGCGGGGGCCGCGGCCCGCGCCCGGCGCGAGGACCGACGGCCCCCAAGGCGGCCGGGCGGGCGAGGCCGCGGGCCGCCGAGGACGGGGAGGCGGGCGACGACGAGGCGGCCGGGCGGGCGAGGGCGACGAGCGCTGGCGAGGCTCGGCGCGGAGGGGGCTGCGGCCGACGACGACGAGGCCGGCGAGGAGGCAGGGCGGAGTCGGGATCGGATCGGATCGGCCGTGCGAGGGTGGGCAGCGGTGCCGTGCAAGATCGGGAGGCAGCTGGTCGTCGGGACGCCGGGATCGAGCGGGACCGCGCCGTTGCCGAAGCAGACGTATCCAATCGAGAAAAGATCGGTCGAATCGGCATGGACCCTGCAGTGTCCCCACTCGCGTCGGACTGCTCCCAGCCCTCCTGCGTACCGGGTCCTCGTTTGAATCGAGCTCTGTCGCCTCCTCCTCCTCCTCCTCCTTCCTCCTCCTCCTCCCTCCTTCCTCCTTCCACCCCCCCCCCCGTCGTCTCCTCCCGCCTCCTCCTGGCCTCCCTCATGCTTTCTTCTTCGTCCCTGCCTCCTAACTCCCATCCCTTGGTGCAACTGGCGCATCCAACCGCACAAATGTCGCTACTTTCGTGACCACCTGGGAGGTCCACCATCCGCAACCGCTCTTCCCCGCCAGTGCCATGGTCATGATCGCGATCATCGTCGAGATCGTCGCCACAGTCTGGGCAACCAATGAGGTTGTCATTATCATCATCACCGCCCGATGGAACACAACAACCATCATCGTCGTCACGTGAGCCGCGACAACCGTCATCAAGAACTCCAACTTCATCACCCCTACCACTGCGACCTGTACCGCTTCGTACTTGTACATCTGTGTTGCACTAAACACATCGCGCTTTGCGTTGCTTCGTAATGTTCTCGCGTCCGCCTTACAACAGGGAACAACCGCCCAAATATTCTATCCAGTTGGGGTTTGGCAAGGCACCATCAAGAATAGAACAAATCCCAACTGCACCAAACCGCAATTGAAATCTAGTCGGATCCGAGTGGGCACGCAACAGACCTCAAATCACGAAGGGTCCAACCGGGATCGCAATCGGATTCCAACGGAAATGGGGCACTCACGGATCCAGAGGAGTCCACTTGGATGCTAGTAGAGCTCTAACGAGAAGCCAACAGGATTGGGGCAGACTTCCAAATGCAGAGGAATCGCATTGAGCTTCGGTGTGGTTCCGATTCGAACTGAGCGTGCCAACATATTCTAATGAGTCAGCTTCAAGTTGGAATGTGGCAGGCACCAGACCCATAAACACCTCAAAAGGTAGTAAACACGCATCGCAAGAAAATGGACACGAATCGAAAGAGAGGGAAAGAGAACTAGAGAGAAAGCGATAGACAGAACGCCTCCAAACAGCCCCCCGTGCTCCCTCCCCACCCTCGGCGCCCGCCCGAGCCCAGAGGCGGCATCGGGAGGCAGCGCAACTGGATCACCCGACGAGGACGGCGCACGCATGCGCGGCATGTTCGTTTGACAGTAACGGTCGTGCCGACTACGAAGAACGGATCGAATTGCTCCTCCAGGGATGTTAGAAAAGACGGCGGCACGAAGAAGAATTAACATCAGGAGAAAACGACCTCAGGCAGAGATCAGTCGGGATCCATGGAGGCGAGCAGGTCCCGAGGATGTATCGGGCGAGGCGGCCACTGCACATAGCGTACCCGAGCGGTCCAAAAGGATCCCCCTGGGGCTTCCCCCCCAAACCCGCGTTTCATCACGAGTCGTTTCCCGACGATCCCGACTAGGGTTTTTGAAGGGCCCTGGGAGCTTCCATGACAATGGCCAACAATTTAAGAATAACAACCTGCAGACACGCAAACTTTGGAGGACCGCGCGGATTCTCGGATCGGCACCGGGCCCCCCTCCCTGGCGCACGGAGCACGCCAGGGGCGGCGCTGGAGGTGCCGCCAGCACGGTCCAGGGCAAATGCGGGAACTCCGTGCGGACCTCCCAGAATTCATGCTCATGCTGGTCTTCTTCGAATGCCAGCCAGTGCCAGAACTACTCTTCTCGGACCCACTCCCATCAGGAGGCGCGAGTCATCGGCGGCGACCCCCAGGGGGGGGGGGAACCATAAGGGGCGGGCCTTCTCAGAGGGCTCGGAAGTCCCCGGGCCTCCTGAGGAGTCCTCGAAGCTTTCCCCGGATACGCAGAGAAAAAACCTCTCGGAAGGTCGGAGGGCTTCCGAAAAGTCCCGCCGCCTTCTGAGAAGGCCTTCTCGAGGAGGAGGAGGAGGAGGAGGAGGAGGAGGAGCAGGAGGAGGAGGCTGGCTGGCTGGCTCTGCGCTTGGGGGTGTCTGATGCGTCTCTCTTGCAGCGAGTGCCGCACCCCTGCGTGGGTGTCTCGCACGTCCTTTACACCATGCGTCTGGAGCGTGGGCGCGTGCTCGGAGCGTCCCTCTTGCCCCTGTGGGCGGAGAGGGTGCTCCTACGAGCGGGAAGGCACCCGCATTCGTTGCAGAGTGCCCCCGTCCCCCCCTCGGGCCCCATGCCATCCCTACGGCGGGTTGTCACGAGCTCCTTGGGAGGGTTGCGGCCCTCTGGCACCTCGAGAGAGAGGAGGGGGAGGGGAGAGGCACTCTGATCCTGCAGCAGCGGCGGGCGCCGCAGAACCTGGGAATGAGCCAGGATTGTGGCAACTTGAAACAGTCGCCCGGCACGCACTCGTGGCAATCTAAACGGTCGCCTGGCGACAGGGTGGGGCAAACATTCGGTGAACGATGGGATCGGTGGGGGGCCTGTGGAATGGCAGCCAAAAAGCAGCAAAAACCCACGGAGACAGGACCCCTACCGAGCCACCGAGGAGGGGAGAGGGAGGAGGGACAGGGTGGCGGCAGCGGCTGCCGCTCGGTGGCTGCGCGCCACCTCCGCTGGGTCGGGGGACCCTCTCTAAAATAGACTCTCTGCCGAAACTGCATTACCTATTTTCTGCTCTCAACGCTTCGTTGAGCCTGCGTCTAAAACTCTGCGCTTCGCTAAGCATTCGCGCCGCATGTGACGACCCCTCGGTCGCCATCTTCCTCAGCCTCGTCATGGCTGCAGGATCCGTTGCAAATCTTGCGATTGGCTCTGCTCTCAACTGCTCTACAGCTGTGCTCACTTCTTCTGCAGCGCCTTCAGCTGACGCTCGACAACTCGGTCCAGCTCTGGTTTCGGCCCGCTGCCTATCGGTTTCGTCCCTCCCGCTTTGCACAACGCCACCCCCATGGCCTGCATCAGCTTCTCGGCGTGGAACTCTTTCGTGGGCGGGACAATCGTCTTTTTCTCCATATTGAGGGCCGTCATCAGGTCGAAGTGCGGTGCCAAGGCGAACATCAGCTTGCCCTTGTGATCGGGCCCCTCCATCTCGTCGCCCTTCCTGTACGCGTCGCTCACCCTGAACATCCTGATGGTCTCGCTCACGAAGGCTCGGCCGTAGTCCACGTTGTCCGCCATCGTCGTCCACGCGCCGACGATGATCTTGGCCCCCTGCTCCCCGGGAACGTTTGGGTCGAGGATGTCCCGCGTCGTGCTCAGCACCTCCGAGGCGACGTGCAAGTAGGGGGGCCCGAGGCCGTGGCCTTTTCCGATCGTTTTGACCCGACTGGCGCAGTCTGCGCCCGTCTCCTTGGCGGTCTTGATGATAGCGTGATCCGAGGGCACGAGCCAGAACTCCCCGACGATATTGATCAGGTCGCGGCCCTCGGCCGCCGTCCTCAGGCATAGCTTCTGGAGCGCCATCACCGCCTGGACGAGGTCGTCCTCCTTGTTGCCCTTGCCTTTCGCGCCTTTGCCTGTTTTTTTTTTCTCTCTCGGCTGGCGCCTCGCCGGCGTTTCTTTTTTGGACCTTCCAGCTCGATGCCGCTCCAGACATCGCTCTGTCCTCGAACGTGGCCCGGTCCGACGTGGTGAAATCTGGCGCGAGCTTGGAAGCAGCCAAGATCGGGGAATTCTTGATCACAAATGCTACAGACCAGAGACTCTGGGGGGATAACTTCATGCGCCCATCTGGACTTGTCTCGATGGCAAATCCCGTGCGAGCAAGATCGTACACAGTGGTCCAATGCAATTCGCCTTGATGCGAAACATGAGAGGCACCGCGGGCACTGGTTAGTGATGGCAATGTTTGATAATACTTCTGTGTGGTTGTGTGCTTCCCGAAGGTGCCCTTTTAAAGCTTTCATGCTAGCAAACCTCTTTCCACAAATGCATCCTCCATCCTCCTGATAGTCGCGCCAAAAAGGTTTCTCGAGCTCCTCCAGGGTGACCTCCTCGTTGATCTCCTCCTCCTCTTCTTGCTTAGGTCCTATGCTTACAGTGTTTTTCTTTCCTCCTTGAACATGGGGTCAGCAAGTGGCCATCTATCGTGTGCTTCTGTGCCAGGTATGAAGATGTCTAGATCGCTTTTCCTGTTCATGTACCACGCGCGCATGCTCTCGTCGACTTCGGCCAGCCTGTCCATGTCTTCTCGATACTGGACTGCCCAGGGCGTCGACTTCTCACTGCTCTCCTGCGGCCACACGAACTTTGCTGGGGTAAGCCTAGGTTTTTTTTGTAACTCATCCAGTCGCGAATCTCCAAAGACAGCAGAGAGTGCTCCACAGTGTTCAACAGGGTTTTTTGCCCAGGTCTGGTACATGCGTAGCCTTCTAATTCTTAGCGTAGTAGCCGAGTCACTGAACTGCCAGTACTTAAAAACCTCCTTCGTGCTGCTACATCTTGTTTCACCATCTTCATTTTCCAGCTTAGCTTACCTTCTGCTAGGCTACGCAATAACTTAGCTAACGTGGAATCGATAATGTCGGTGTGGGTCTTGTTTAATACGAACACGTTCAAGCCACTCAGCGCTGCTCCTATAACGAAGGCCTCAAACATGAGTTTTGTTTTACTGCTCTCCTCGTACGTGCCTTCCAAAAAGCTCCGCACTGACGCCATG